GTATTTACTGAGTACCTCCTTTATGCCAGATGCTGTAGGTGAGAGCAAACTGCAGTGAGAAAGACATACTCTTCTGGGTCTATCCTTGTAGAGCTCAGTCTAGTGAGGAAGGCAGACATCAAATAATTGACCACACATATACCTTTATAGTTACAATTGTGAAAGAAATGAACAGGGTGATTTAAGAGATACTGAACAGAAGGACCTAACTGGATTGGAAGAAGTAGGGGTAAGTCAGGGCAGGTCTCCCTATGAAGATGACAAGTAGGTTAAGACCGAAAGGAAGAGGCCCGGTGAGGTGGCTCACGCCTGTAATCCTAGCATTCTGGGAGGCCGAGGTGGGAAGATCACTTGAGCTGAGTTGTTTGAGACCAGCCCAAGCAAGAGCGAGACCCCATCTCTACTAAAAATAGAAAGAAACTAGCTGGACAACTAAAAATATATAGAAAAAATTAGCCGGGCATGGTGGTGCATGCCTGTAGTCCCAGCTACTCGGGAGGCTGAGGCAGGAGGATCGCTTGAGTCCAGGAGTTTGAGGTTGCTGTGAGCTAGGCTGATGCCACGGCACTCTAGCCCAGGCAACAAAACAAGACTTTGTCTCAAAAAAAAGGAAAGAAGCCAGGCGCGGTGGCTCTCGCCTGTAATCCTAGCACTCTGGGAGGCCACGGTGGGAGGACTGCTTGAGGTCAGGAGTTTGGGACCAGCCTGAGCAAGAGCAAGACCCCATCTCTACTAAAAATAGAAAGAAACTAGCTGGACAACTAAAAATATATAGAAAAAATTAGCCGGGCATGGTGGTGCATGCCTGTAGTCCCAGCTACTCGGGAGGCTGAGGCAGGAGGATCGCTTGAGCCCAGGAGTTTGAGGTTGCTGTGAGCTAGGCTGACGCCATGGCACTCACTCTAGCCTGGGAAAACAAAGCGAGAAAAAAAAAAAAAGGAAAGAAAGAAAGAAAAGAAAAGACATGAAGGATAAATGAGAGTTAACCAAGTGAAGAGGGAGAATATTCCAGGTCAAGGGAACAGCACATGGTGCTTTGAGGGACAAAGGGAGCTGTGTGGCTGGATCCAGTTTAGTGAGTGAAGAGGGAGTAAGAGCCACCACTGTGCTCCTTTTAGAGCATTTTAAGGAGTGAGATTTAGGGAGGAGTGGTGTGTTGAACAGATGTGTATCTCAAAAAGTCACTGTGGCTGGCTGCAGTGCTATTAGACCAGGGTTTCTCTACCTCGGCACTATCAATATTTGGGGCCAGATAATTCTGTTGTGGGGGACAGTCCTGTACAATGTAGGAGATGTAGAAACATCTCTGGCTTCTATCAACTAGCTGCTAGTGGCACTTCCCCTCCAACTTGTTGCAACCAAAAATGTCTTCGGACATTGCCAAATGTCTCCTGGGGGCAAAATCACCCCTGATGGTCTGACTGTGCCAGACCATTTAGTTAGTTCAGCCTGATTAGTTTTCTTGGATGAGTGTCTGCCGCTTTTCCCTCCCTCCATTCCCAGAGACACACCTACAGGGTGTGCACAGTCACATACGCATGTGCAGCCTTGGCTGTGACTCCCCTGCAGGTCGTATTTGCCTCTGGCTCCAGTGCTTTGCATAGGTAGGGGCTTGGTGTTTGTTGGATGAACACTCCTGAATATATTGATAACACCATCAGGGAAGGGTAAATGGTTAATATTTTGCCCTGTTCTAAGAATTTACAAAACCTACTCCCTGTCCAATTTGCTTCTCATTCCCATTCCTACTAACAGCAGCTACCTAGCATGTTACAAGCACTCAAAAAACTGTTGATTTCTATTAGCGGGAATGAGTTATAGAACCTTTTTCTCATCTGTAAAATGGGAGAACATCTGGTGGAATTGATCATTTACAGACATTATCATTTAATCCGTACATACCTGAGGTAGGCAGGTATGATTCTGGATATGTTTCTTTCTTTTTTTTTTTTTGAGACAGTCTCACTTTGTTGCCCAGGCTAGAGTGAGTGCCGTGGCATCAGCCTAGCTCACAGCAACCTCAATCTCCTGGGCTCAAGCAATCCTCCTGCCTCAGCTTCCCAAGTAGCTGGGACTACAGGGATGCACCACCATGCCCGGCTAATTTTTTTCTCTATATATTAGTTGGCCAATTAATTTCTTTCTATTTATAGTAGAGATGGGGTCTTGCTCTTGCTCAGGCTGGTTTGGAACTCCTGACCTTGAGCAATCCACACGCCTAGGCCTCCCAGCGTGCTAGGATTACAGGCGTTGAGCCACCTTGCCTGGCATGGATATATATAAGTTTCTTAAGAGAGCAAGTTCCCACAGCTGATTCAGTGATAGAGCTGGGCTTCAACACTAGGCCTAATTTTGAGGCCCTGAAGGGTTACTCTACCCCTCCGAATTAGAATCCTGGTGTTGGAAGGCAACTGGCAGCTATCTAGCAGCTGACTTAGAGCCCCAACTGCATGGTGGCTCTGCCTGACTTTGCTCAAGTTGTCTGCCATCAGGACCTCCCTCTCCCAGCCACCTTGTGTGCTGTTGAGGGAACCAAAGCTTTCATCTAGCTCACTCCCCACTCCTCCTTTTCCCACAGCCAGGCAGGGAGCCAAGTGCTCTAGTGCATTATTGCATTTCATCCTCATTACCCTCTGAGAGAGGCCCCATTTTGCAGATGAGGACATCGAGGCTTAAAGCTGCTGAATGGCAAAGAGCAGGATGAGACTCCAGACTGTAGTCTGGTCATCCGCAGACTGCAAACTCAACCACCATGCTGTTGGGATGGGCAGTATCTATCACTACCTGGTTGACTTCGGGGCTTTCAAAAGCTGACATCTTATGCTTCACTTCTTGAAAATAAATGTACTATTTTGGTAGCTTTTTTTTTTTTTAGGCCAAATTTAGCAGTGGGGGGTTGTATACCAACTTTAGTGACACTAATGTAATAAGTTCTGAAAACCCACTATCATCGGACCAGCTGGTAACTTTTTTAAAAATCTTAAAACATACCATAAGCTCCCATTTCTCCCTTCAGGATACACCAATCTAGTCCACCTTTGCAGATGAGGAAACAAGTACTGGCAATTGCACAAGCTAGTGAAGGGCCACTGGATCCAGAACCTGCATTCAATTCCCAGGCTCAAAAGAAACCCTTATGTGCAACCAAACCTGCGTCCATGTCATCTTCCCTTTCTCTAAATCCTAACCCTACCTATCCAAGGTCTTTAGAGAAAGCTGGTTGTGCCATTAGTATGACCTTGGCCTTGTCACTTAACCTCCCAGGGGTCAGTTGGGCTGTCCCAACCTACTCTCAAGAATGAGGCTGAATCATTTCCAGTGCTCCGAAATGGTTAGAAACTTCCATTGTGTGACTGTTAATTTTGTCGAGTCCCTCTGTTTTGAATAACATTTTTGTTACCATTTACCAACTGCTATTTACAGTTGCAGCCGTCTTTGAATATGAAGGAAACAATGATGCAGTAAGAGAAAATATTTGAAGTCTAGGAGCTTACAAAGAGAGATAGGTTCCAAAGATCCAGTGGAAGCCCCCGGTCCCTGGATTGCTCAGTATGCTGAAGCCCACTCTTCAAACTTCTGGTAAATAGTGCTCTTAAGGATTGCTGTCATCTGAGCCTCCCAGTGTAATTACAGGTAGGGACCCCTTTGTTGTGCAACCCCAGTGCTTGCTATATGCTACACACAGCACCCTTGCCACTCACCTTCTCAGCCATGTCCAGCTAGCACAGGCCCCCTACAACTGGGTAGCGAGTTACCACCAAACCCCTTCAATCCTAATTCCATGGGAATCCTAATTCCACAGAAAAGGTCTGCTATGGTTTGTATATTGGCTTATTAGCTCTTATCACCTATAAAGTATTTATCAACCACTTCTTAAGGTGCCCAGTAATTTGCTGAATGCATCTCCTCTAAATATCAAGTTGGTGAAGCAGGTAAGTTCTTTGAAAAATGTTAAACGTAGATTTAAATTCCCATTGTGCATGTCCACTCAGCTGCAGCTCCTCAGGAAGTCAGGCAATGCCAACAATTAACCTAGATCATTCAAGCAAAAGTGAATTCTCCTGAATCCAGGATCAGCAGTAGGCGATCCTTCTGTGTAAAGAGCCAAATAGTATGTTTTAGGCTTTGCAGGCCACATAGTCTCTGTGCATTAGGGTGAAAATAGACACACATAATATGTAAATGACTGGGCAAGACTGTGTAACAGTAGAATTTTATATGGACACTGGAATTTGAATTTCAACTTGCAGGTGTCATAAAATATTCTTTTAATTTCTTTAAATCATCTAAAATGCAGAAACCATTTAGTTAGCCGGCTATATAAAGACAGGCAGCAGACCAGTTTGCCAACCCCTGGTTTAGATAATCCCTACTCTTGAGAACTGGTATCATAAATAGCAAATGCAGATGCTATTTAAGGAAGAATGTGCTACTCTCAGGTACTAGGATGATACATATGCATCCCTCATAACAGAAGGGGTAAGAGCCACCAGCCACATGGAGCTATTCAGATTTACTTACAATTAAATGAAATCTTACATTAACCACTTCGGTACAAGCGTTGACTATAGTTGATAGCCACAGATGAGCGTGCACAGCCGAGCGTCGACTTCAGTCCATAATTTTGAATTTGATTTTTCTAACTTTTCATTTATCAAAATAAAATTGTGAACATTTAAAAATAACATAATAAAAACATATGTTACCTGTTCCGATTTACAAGTAAAGCTGCCTGTAAAGTAAAACAAGTACTTTAAAGCTTTCCTCATCACACAGAGCAAAATGGATTGTCATCAATGCACAGCACAAACTATCCTGCAGACTGTCAGTGCCGGGTTCGTGGCCGGTGAGCGCCGTACCGAAGTGGCTAAACACACTTTAAGTACTTGGTAAGCAGAGAACATTTCTATCATTACAGATAGTTCTACTGGACAGTGTAGTGTTAGGTCTAGCAGGGGGCAGGGGAATTCAGTACATCACAAACCAGAATAAAACAGCAATTAAACAAAAGGTCTCACATATTTATTACTGAACCAGCTTATTAGTACAGAGCATATAAACAAAGAGAAAAATCACTTTTCCCAATGAAATGTGTCTGTCCGGATAACAGTGAGATTTCCAACTTGATATGGTAAGATGATAGTGATCTTGATACAGCATAAACATGTGTGCCATTATATCATGTACAATTCCTTATAGACCCAGCTTGGTTCTTCTCCAATGTCTCCTCTTGGAATTGTACCTACACAGAAGGAAAGTGCAAGTTATAACAAAGGCAGTCCGACTGCAATTTAGCGGTGCCCATTCATCATAAACTTTGCCTTTTATGTACCACAAAACACAAAGGGTCCCAATTTTCCTTCCTTTAACAAGTTTGGACCTCTTTCTGGAGAGTGAAAAAAAATGACTTGCTACATATGTTTATAAACTAGTCAAGCCAAATTTTAACCTGGCAAAATGATTCAAGGCTAGGTTCTTAATTGGAATCAGTAATAAGGTACACCACTCCCCAAGTGTACCCTCACCCACTTTTGATTCAACAGACCCACAGCAGACATACACATATATTTGAACTCCCTCCTGATAACTCATGCACACATAAAAGCTCCTGCATAATCTTTATGTAACGAACACTTCATTCATCTCTACCCAAGAGCAACAATGATGCAGAGCTAAAGCAATCTCAAAATTGTCCATGTCAATCTGTCATGATTTTACCCCCATAAAGGCAAAACCAAAACGATTAACACAGCTTTTCTTTCAGCAGGATTAATGGCAGTACTTCCACAAAATGAAGCACTGTAATTGCAACCTGCTTTCAATACACTTTGTTGTATTGTTGTAAGAGAGCTGAGACAACAGAAAAATCATTCTATTGTGCCAATTCTCTAGGTCAAGGGTATGTAATCTTAAATACAAAATACCTTCCCAGCTCTAGGAGAGATGGACTAATACCACTTCACCTAGTGACTCAATACTCTTTCTCAGTATTTTATGATGGGAAAACCGTAAGTTTTAAAATCTAGTTGTGCCTATACAGTTAGATATCCACTAAATATGTTAATATGCACAAATGATCTTCCATTGCTGAGCTTCAGTGTCCATCATTCAAGAGGGACCCATTTGCTAGGCTCACCCTAAAATGCCAGCTTATTTGGGACAGCCAGGAAACTAGGTATTTCATTTTAAACCTAAGTCCTGAAAGTTGTTTAACACACTGGGGACTATTGCTGGCTACAGGACCTTGGGCAAATTGCACTTATTTTTGATGTTTATTTTTCTTCCCCTCAAGACCCATCTCTAAACCCCACATGGTCCAAAGAATAATGGACTAAAAGGCATGCAGAAGACCTGAGTTTTAGGTCTACCTTTGCCTGGACCTAGCCAGCATGATGTTGGAAGTCCTTTATAGCTATTCTAGTAATGTCTTTCTTCCAAAATGATCAACTCAACTACTCCTGCAGTAGAGGGCAGTTTCCTAATCATCGGCAAAGATAAATGCTTCAAAAAATTAGTCTTCCCGGCCAGGCGTGGTGGCTCACGCCCGTAATCCTAGCACTCTGGGAGGCCGAGGAGCGAGGACTGCTCAAGGTCAGGAGTTCGAAACCAGCCTGAGCAAGAATGAGACTCTGTCTCTACTAAAAAAAATAGAAAGAAATTAATTGACCAACTAAAAATATATATGCAAAAAATTAGCCGGGCATGGTGGCACATGCTTATAGTCCCAGCTACTCGGGAGGCTGAGGCAGAAGGATCGCTTGAGCCCAGGAGATTGAGGTTGCTGTGAGCTAGGCTGACGCCACGGCACTCACTCTAGTCTGGGCAACAAAGTGAGACTCTGTCTCAAAAAAAAAAGTCTTCCCCACCAGGATGTGGAAGACAGCCTTCCACCCTATGCTCTAGTTGACTGAAGACGACCAGGAAATTAACACATATCAGAAAAAGTGCCCCTAAGCCCCGTTGTTGTCTGGGTACAATGCAGAAACCAAGTACTCCAAAAAAGGGATTTCAGAATGGTATTAGATGGATTCCATGTAATTTTCAATTGCATACTTATGCCCAAAACAGAACCTTAAATTTAACAAAAACCAAGCAGGTCAACGGAGTTCTTACCTGATTTTATTGCCAGTTTTCATACGAATCCATTGGGGAATGGGACGGTTTTGCTTCTGTTTCTTGGCCAGAAACCGCTTGATTCTGAAAGTCTTGTGAGAAGACTGGGAAGGAAATGCAATTAATTCAGACAGTGATACTAGAGCCTGCCCAATGATTCAAACTCAAGAACTCTCTCAAATCCAACATCCAAGTGCTTAATGTACTCCAAAAATATCTCTAAATGCTAAACTATCACATCCTATGATCCTCACAACTTCTCTGAAGCCAGATACCATAGTTTCCATCGTTCAAATAAAAATAAGCAGAATCAGGAAGTAAGTAACCCACCCAAAATCATAGTATTAATGTGCAGAGTTGGGATTCAAACCTAGGCTCTCTCTGCTCCACAGCCAGGGGCACCTTCCAGTCTACCCTGTCGTCACTCAAGGATTAAAATGACCACATTGGGAACAGCTAGGGCTGGGAACCTGGTTGCCTGGAAAAAACACAGCTTTGGGTCAAACAGAACCACCTATCACTTGCAAGTTAATGAGTCTCAGTGCCCAACTTTGTAAAATAGGAGTACTCACTTTTAGACTGTCACTGCAAGGGTAATTAAGATGTATGCAAAGCCCTTGACATTCAATAGATCTAACCCACTCACCATTTTGGTGTGAATCTTAACTGCAATAAACCAACCGATACTGATCCCCTCGATACCTAAAAGCCAATCAACGTTTTAATTTCTTTGTAAACTATTACAGGAAAAATCTACGACAGGGACAGGTTCGCTGTTGTCATTTACTAAGAACTCCCGAATGACATAAGTTCATACAACACCTCTTGTTCCAAGTGCCTCCACGGGGTGACGCTCAAGTCTGCGTACAAACGGTTTCTGAACAAAAGTCCTGTAACCTAATAACGTCGTAGGCTCCCCTGCACCAAGTTAAAAACTTTCCGAAAACCAGTAGCCCACACTCCCCTCCGATGCCAGGCACCGGCAGACGTAGTCAGGTCACTATTTCTGGGGTGGCCTCCCAACCTCTCTCCCTGTGCCAAAGTCACAGTTCGTTCAATGCGAAGGGAAACGGGAATCCCTGTCCCCTTCAGTGGCGGCCCAGAGAACAAAGCACCCCGTGGAACCCGCGACGCCAGCGCAGTCCGCCCCTCCCAGGCGCTCCTTTGCTCAACTAGCATCCCACCAGGCCCGCGGACTACATCAGGGACAAAACTCGAACTTCTCTTAAGAAAGCCCTTAAAGGGCTCCTGCCCCTCGACGCTCAGCGCGGCCCCGGCGACCTCACGGCGGCCTCGGGGCTCCGGAAGCCACTCCGGAGCCGATGGCTGCCGATTGACTTACCATGGCGAGAGAGTCAAACGCACGCAGCACGATGGCGGACGAAGGGAGAAAGAGGAGTTAAGAAACCGGAAAAACGCGTTTAGAAGGCGCCGCCGGGGGCGGGGCTTAGGAGGTGACGCCACGCGCCGGCCAACGTTTCCTAGCGCCTCCCCGTCCCCGCGTGCTCGCGGGAGGCGCTGGCGGAAAGTGCGCTGGTTTGTGCCAAGTGGAATTCTCTATACTTCTTTTCGTTTAAGTGGGTTTCCCCAGGATCCCATCAGTGTGCTGGGGCGCCCCGTTTCGTGGGTGAGGCAGACAGCCGGTGATTAGTGCTAACTTTCCCTCCAGAAAGTTGCGGGAGCAGAATGGGCGGGACTAACCCAAGGGAGGGCGGGGAAGGTGTCCGTCACCTCCGGGTGCCTGGGACTGGGAACGCCCGGCCGGGGTGGGCAGGCGGAGAGCAACCGGGCATCTTCCCAGAGTAGTTTTGCCCTGCCTGGGAGGTGTGGGAAGGAAGGGACGGTATTGTGGGAGGAAGCTAGAGAAGTCGGCAGGGGCAGGACCTAGGGACGGCTTTGGAGTCTTAGACAGGGCAAGAGGTTGCCAATCATGGTTTAAAGCTGAGAAAGTGAGAGGCAGAAGCTTCTCCTTAGCTTCTAGAAAGTCCATGCTGACACTGTAGCCGACCTTTGGCAAGATGTACAAGAATTAATAGCATGCATTTGGGATGCTAGCGTTCCCCGTTTTTATCTTCTCCCATTTAAAAACAAAAACCTCTATATTTGCAGTCACCTCAAGCATTTTTGCACCAATGGATTAAGGTAAGGGTTTTTAACCTGGAGTCCACAAGCGTCCATGTATAGAATTCAGAGGGTCCATGAACTTGGATGGGAAAACAAAACTTTATTTTCACCAAACTGAGATTTAACGCTTTTTTTATTTACGAATGTATGAACAGACTACAGTGACGTTAGCAATACCTCTGATTTGGTCACCGGTAGAAATCATAGATGGTTTCATAGTACATTACAGGTGATGCAGATGTCTCTAAATATCATTTGCACAGGCCGGGCGCGGTGGCTCACGCCTGTAATCCTAGCACTCTGGGAGGCCGAGGCGGGTGGATTGCTCAAGGTCGGGAGTTCGAAACCAGCCTGAGCAAGACCCTGTCTACTAAAAATAGAAAGAAATTAATTGGCCAGCTAATATATATAGAAAAAATTAGCCAGGCATGGTGGCACATGCCTGTAGTCCCAGCTACTCGGGAGGCTGAGGCAGCAGGATTGCTTGAGCCCAGGAGATTGAGGTTGCTGTGAGCTAGGCTGACACCATGGCACTCACTCTAGCCTGGGCAACAAAGTGAGACTCTGTCTCAAAAAAAAAAAAAAAAATATCATTTGCACAGTCATCACTCCCTTTAAATGACATAGTTATTAGGCCACAAATAGAACTGTGTTAAGAAGTCCATATGTTATTATAACACATATTTCCTTTAAAAATATTTTGGGCCAGAGGCGACCTGAGCACGAGGGCAAGGCTGGGAAGTGGCGCTGAGATGATTTTGCGGAGACCCAAGACTCCGAGGGGAGGCCTGGCAGTCCCCACATCCCCAAGATGACTCCCCACCCTCCTGGGGCTCACACCTCTGTCAGAGCCCCTGACACAAACAATGAGACTGCCTCATTCAGGAGAGGGATACCAGCCACAAGGGCAATTTAAAAAGAGTAATGGGCCAAAGCGTGGGCACAGGGCAGATGGGCAGGCCCAAAGAGTCTTTCTGAGGAGGCAGCTTTTGAGCCCAAACCTAGAAGATAAGAGGGAGCTGGCCTGGAAAGGTCCCCAGGAAAGGTGTTCCAGAAGGAATGGCAAGTACAAAGGCCATGCCTGGAGGGGTTCGCTAGAGGGAGAGGGTGAGTGAGCAAAGGGTGGTCAGAGGAAGGAGATAGAAGAGATGACTATCTGAATAACTCTTCTTGGGAGGAGCATGAATTGTAAAGGGGCTGGTTAGGGGGTGGAGAAAGAGCACCTGGTTAGGAGGCTATTGCATTTGTCCAGGCAAGAGATACTAGTGCCAGGGGCTATGGTGGTGGCCAGTGGAGATAGACAAGGTGAAGGATTGAATCTGAACACTTTCATGACATCCTTATGAAGTCTAGTTTATTGTCCGTGGAAAGGGGACCAGAAAGTTTGAAGGATATTTCCCAACTTGTTTTGCCCACACTCAGAATGAAAAAATACATTTTATATCACAAACCAGTATACATATGCATACATTTAAGGATATGTTTAATAAAACAATTCTGCAGGTAATGTATTCTATTTTTATTCTAGTTTTAAATGCTGTCTGAGACTTGATCCACTAGTAAGTGTTGACTCACAATGGAAAACGGTGGTCTGGGCACAGTGGCTCACACCTGTAATCCTAACACTCTGGGAGGCCGAGGAAGGTGGATCGTTTGAACTCAGGAGTTCGAGATCAGCCTGAGCAAGAGCGAGACCTGTCTACAAAAAAACAGAAAAAATTAGCCTAGCATGGTGGCACATGCCTGAAGTCCCAGCTACTCGGGAGGCTGAGGCAGAAGGGTCGCTTGAGCCCAGGAGTTTGAGGTTGCTGTGAGCTAGGCTGATGCCATGGCACTCTAGCCCAGGCAACAAGAGTGAGACTCTGTCTCAAAAAAAACAAAAAAGAATTAGTGTGTCTGATTTCTCCTAGACAATCTAGTTTAGGTCTGTCTGCCTCTGTACCTTTGGCAAAGCATCACATACGTGCTTCATGGAGTTGTCATCAGGATTGTGGTGTGTTATACCTTGTCATAGCACTCTGCACCTTTTCTTTATAGCACTTGAGGCAGGATAATTTATTGAAAACCTAATTTTTGTGTGGTATCATATGAAATATATTTGGTCTTTGTCTCCCGTTCCTGTCACAGAGCCCCTAAAACTCTTGGAGTTTCCTGCATGTTAGGAATGTCTTTTGTATTCATTATGTGCCCCTTTTGATCACACCTGAGTTTATGTTAATGAGGTGACTTAGATGAAGACGACTGATTAGAAAATTGGAACTTTGAGCCCCACCTACCCACTAATCTCTGGGAAGGGGGAGGAGGGACTGGAGATTAACCTCTATAAAAACTCAAACTGCAACATTTGAGGGGCTTCCAGGTTGCTGAGCCCCTAGAGTGTGGCACCCCCCTGCAAGAGGGCCTGGAAGCTCTGTACTCCTTCCCCCATACTGCTCCCTATTCACCTCTTCATATGTACCTTTATAATAAATCGATAAATGTAAAAATAAAAATATTTTGGGCCGGGCATAGTGGTTCAC